GTTAATATGTTTGGGCCATAAAATAGCTTGCACTTAGAGAATAAAGAACTTGCATTTATATTATAAGTCCCAGCACAGGACCAGACTATTTAATTGCATTTAGAGAGAAGTTGCACTTAGAGGGGTTGCATTTAGAGAGAGTTGACTGTACTTATTTTACTGACAAGAAATATAAATTTTGAACATTAATATTCATTGTGCAAAATAATTTCAATATTAACAGATGATTTTCATAGAATCGGTTTTGTGCAATGTATGGCAGTAACAATCATAACACAGTAAAAGTTAAATAAATCTTAATTTGTAAATTTTGAGCTTTTGTTCTATGTACGTACGTACGAGGAACGGAGTACAAATGAAAAATATGGTCTAATGGTGAATAAAAATAATGGTCAATTCTCTGCATTTAATTAGACTGCCTTTTTGCCTTTCTATATTTGTACATTATGAAGTTTTTTTTGTTACGACATTATGCATAAATCTAAAAATACTTGTAATGTCTACTGAATTATCAGTTTGTGCATTTTTTTTTATAATTTTAATGACAAGCCTGATTTTTGTGCGAATTTAGATCAAGTGAAAATGAAATCAGATAGTTTAACAAAAGCAAACATTTACGCTGGTATTTGTTATCATATAATATTGACATCACAATTCAATTTTTGTGGGTACGTAGGTTCGTCGTGCCAGAAAAAATCGCAGTCACATGCTGATCATCATACATAAAAGAAATTTTATTGGCTAAAAGTTTGAGATTTGCCTTCCTATACATCAGAATTTTTTAAACTTAGAGCAAAGTTATCTCGACAACCACCAAGCCAAATTTGATGAACTTTTTTTATTTAAATTCTACTATTCTGTAGAATTCAAATAAAAAAGGGTTATCGAATTTAGCTTGGTGGTTGTTAAGATATCTTCGCTCAAATGTTTAACCCGTCTATCAAAATACTGTAAGAGCTGTACTAAACTTTTTCTTAAACTTTGAGCGAAGATATCTCTACAATCACTGAGTCAATTCGATAAACTTTTTTAATTTAAATTCTAAGAATATGCAAAATTTAGATTAAAAAAAGTTCATTGAATTTGGCTTGGCGGTTGCCGAGATATCTTAGCAATTAATAGATGTTGCTCTTAATGATTATAACAATAATAATATCGACAAATAAGTTTAATTTCGAACCAGATATCTTATTAGATAAATTCGATTAATTCGGATTAACAGTTATCGATTTATCGATCAGATAAATTATTCGAATTAAGTGTTTTATCTACTTACATTCGGATAAGCAGATCTAAGCACTAACAACCATTGTGAACCCGCGTTGTGAGGCCACATAGAGGATAATAATCATTCCCGGGAGGATTGTGTGCAACACCTTAATTCAAGAGAAAATGAGAGAGTTTTTCTCAATAAAGGTTCTCTTAGACTTCAATTTCTTAATAAAGCGGAAATAAGAATCAATCTTTCTTGAACGATTATTACACCCGAATTTCTTTTCGACTTGATTTATTTATCTAATTCGTTATTACGTATTACCTTCGAATTTCATATTGATTACTCTATTATTACCCAACCCCGATCCTTGGCGAATTAATTACCTCATTTGCTGATTGATCCTGACCCGATTAGATTACTAATCGTAAATCACGTGCACAAGTCGTTAACTTTCGATAATTGGCCGTAGACTTCTAATAAACATAATCTCTACGTTCGCTATTGGAACCGGCTTCCCAAAACAATAGTAACGCAATCATTAACATAACTGAATTTTTGGGCATGTCACATGTCTTATCAAATGATTCAAGAAAACATTAATACTAAAGTATTGAACACGTTCTTTTAAGACTTGATATATGATATTATGAAAAGCATCACTTTGAAGTTAAAGATTTTAAATTGTTACAAAGCCAATTTATAAGTAAATCCATATCTTTATAGTAAAAATATATACTGATCTAAAATGAGAAATTCCTATTGATACAATGTTTAAAAATAATTAATCAAAAATCTTAAACCGTAACTTTTTTTTCTTTCTACAAAATTGCTTGAAAAATATAGGTTATATGTGTGAATCAATTTTTTCTTGCTGATGTATTACTATTATTATTAGTTTGTTATGAGGTAAATCAATTGTTTGAATACTCGTCTTTCGTTAGTGAATATCCGCAACTCTATTTTTTGCGCAAAATCTTCAATGCAACTCACGTGATTTTAATTAATTAGTATCATTACAGCAGATGCGAAGATCAGATCTACTTTAATAAGAAATTTAAAGAGTGCTGTATATCGATATCAGATATGTGAATTAAAGTCGTACGTATAATTTTGGATTGCAACTGTACGATCATTAAATAATCGGATATTATCAAAACTAACTCCGTTAATATAGTTTCAGTAAAACTTTGGGAATTTTCCCTTAATACGGTATAACATACGTATAAAATTGATTATATTGCTTCCTTTTTTTTCATATTCCCCAATAAACTTTAAAATTGATGTGCATAAACATCCATATAAATTATCATCAATATTAAATATTAAAAAAAAAACGTTTTTTTTTGCAAAAATAACATTGCAAAATGCTTTTAACTACTTTAATTGATCCAGTTCCCATTTTTCTTATCCGCCTTAAATACATCACAGGCTCTGTCTATATAGCAAATGTGACTATACATACGACTGGTGAAGTATTGTTGAAGAACTTCAAAAGCTGTGTCGGGCCGCATAATTACTATTCAACTTGTAAACTTTCGTACCATGGAAAGGACATACAGTTTACTGATACGATTGAAAAACTGGGAATCAAGGTAAATATTTTTACGATTACTATAGAAAACTTTTTTTATTTTGGTAGAAAGAAAAGAATAAATGTATATATTATGCTAATGAATTATGATGTTTAACTTTAGGAAGGTGATTTAGTTGAGGCAGTAGATAGTCAATGTAAAAATTCAACAAAATATTTTAACTTAGTGTATCCAACTACACCAACTAATGCAAGAAGTTCGATGTTAATCTACTTGAAAACATCTACTGAAAAAATAGAATTGAATGTGTATTGGAGTGACACAATCTTTCAAATTAAAGAAATGATCCAGGATTTAAAGGGTATTGCCACTGATATACAATCTATTATTTTTAATGGCGTCGAATTAAATGACTGGGAGACCCTATCATATTACAACATCCAAAAAAGAGTCCACATTACATCTAGAATCTAAAGAAATAATTATCTACGTAAAAACAGAAACTGGTGAAATAATAAAACTTGAATTAACGGCAAATAACACTGTCAATGATGTTAAATTAATGATCCAGGATTTAAAGGGTATCGCCGCTGATAAACATTCCATTATTCTTAATGACGTTGAATTACATGACTCTTACCCTAAAATATTATAAAATCCGAAAAAATTCTACATTACATCTGGAATCTAAAAAAATGATTATCTACGTGAAAATCGAAACTGGAGAAATAATAGAACTTGATTTAATGTCAAATAACACCGTCAATGATGTTAAATTAATGATCCAGAATAAAAAAAATATTCTCCCTGTCCAACAGTGTATTAGTTTTTATAGATCTTATGATAATGAATTATATGATAATTATACCCTCTCATCCTACAAAATCAAAAAAGAGTCCTTACTTTTTCTAGGAATTAAATCAATAATTTTTGTAAAAACAAATACCGGAGAAATCATAAATTTTAAAGTAGAAACAAACAAAAAAATCAGACAACTCAAACAAATGATCCAAAACATGAAAAGTGTCCCTATAGGTCAACAAATTCTTATTTATTCAGGCAAGGAACTACTTGATCAGAACACCTTTTTATATTACAATATTCAAAAAGGATCTACATTGTATTTGGATTATAAAGAAATGAAGATTTATATAAAAATAATGAACGAATCAAAAACTATAAAGTTAAAAGCAAAAGGATATCATACAATTAAAGAAATTAAACAAATGATCCAGTATAAAAAAGGCATTCCCTCAGACCAACAACATCTTACGTTTAATAATGAAACGCAATATGACGATTATACCTTGTCATATTACAAAATCGAAGAAGAATCTACTTTGCATCTAGAATTTAAAGCAATAATGATCTATGTAAAATTAACAAATGGGAAAACGATAAAACTTGAAGTGGATAGATATTGCTCTGCCGAACAGGTTATAAATATGATTAAAGACAAAGAAGGAATTCCCTCTTATCAATATTTTATTTTTAATGGCATGACAATTTATCCCTGGAACACCTTAGAATCAAAAAAGATTAACAATGAATCCACACTCAATCTATTTCAATATATACCATTCTCTGGTCAAATATTTGTGCAAGCATTAACTGGAAAAAAATTTACTTTGGAAATAAATTCGAGTAACACTTTCGACCAAATTAAATTGATGATCCAGCACGAAGAAGGAATCCCACCTGATCAACAACGTCTCATGCTTGCTGGCATGCAAGTAGAAGATGGCCGCACTTTGTCAGATTATTATATCCAAAGAGCGTCCACAATTCATCTTATACTTAGGCTACGTGGAGGGATGTTTGAATAAAGCAGTGGTCGCAAAGAATTTGATGCATTGCCACCACTTACGCAATATATACTAACACCTGAAGAACGTCTACAAAATGGAATTCATGCTGGTATTATTTGTAATTATTGCAGTAAAAGTGAATGGAAAGGAGCGAGGTTAATATTCATTGTATTAATATGCTTGAATATGTCAAGTTTTCCTTATCAATTTGTTTTTTTATTACAGATATAAATGTTCGGAATGCCCTGATTTTGACTTGTGCTTTAACTGTATTGCAATGTCCAACCTACTTCATAATGTGCAACATCAATTTTTGAAACTCTTGAATCCCTTAGATCCGAAAATAGTTTCTAAAAATACCTCTATTTCTTCTGTTAATATCATCCCAATATTACCGAACACGAAGGAAAAATTATTAACTCTACTACGTGAAGAAGAGCGACGAAGGCATTCGCCTGAAATGCAAAAAAAATATTATGATGTTGGGATCGATCCTACATGTGGCAAGGATTGGATGGATGTTACTGCTCAGATGCAGCTAGAGTTGGTTCGAGAGTTTGGATACTCGGATGAGGCTGTACAATTGTTGCGACGTGCACCACAACTTTATCCAGGTAA